CCACACAATCGGGCCCGGCCGCTGTGCCATCGGTGTGCACCGGCTGAGTGCCAGACCCACCATGCAGTCACTCAGCAAATGACTGGGTAGGCCTGGGCTTGTAGAGATAACTGGGCCGAGCCCTGGCTCGAACAAGTCTGCTGGGCAGAGACCCTGACCCTTCAGAGTCAAGGCAATTGGAGACAAATGCATGCTCAGCAAAGGGAGGCCACGCCCCCTCAGGGCCACTTCCTGCACTCCTGCACCAGGAGGAGGAGGCCGAATGGAGCTGGGCTCTCCAGGTGGCAGCGCTGGGCTAACATGGCTATGCAGCCAGAGCTGAGGGGAGAGGAGTACGGGGCGGGGCCTTGGCTTGGCGGTGCTTGTGCGGTACCTCCCCACTCGGAACAGAAAGGTGTGGGCATGAAGGCGAGGCTGCCACTTCCCAGAGACCCAGGCAGAGCCCAAGAACCAGGTGAGGTTTGGAACCAAGTTCCCCTGGGCCTGGGTGCTGCAGTGGCAACACAGGTTCTGACCTCAGGGTGGAGCTGGAAGCCCCAACCTGGACACTGACTAGCTGGAGAGCTTGGCCGGTATTCCTGGCCCTCTTAGGGCCTCAATTTTCTCATCTATAAAACGGGGATAAGAATTACGGCTGGGACCAGCAGTTGGCGTAATGGCTGTGTCGCTGGACTCCCAGGTAGTCGATTGCGATTCGAGTCCCAGATCCCGTGGCTTAAACTCACACCGGGCACGTGTGCGTGTGTGCCCAAGATCCCAAGAGAAGAATAGGGGAGAAGGGATTGCGGCGTGGCCATCCCCTCTGGGGTGTGATTTCTCGCTTTCTGTCTCTCTGTTTCTTTCTGGCGAGTACATGTGCCCTATAGCATAAAAACAAAAACAGAAAAACTCTAAAAAAAAAAGAATTAGGGCCTTTCCAGATTGTAGGAAGGACGAGAGGACCCAGACGGCACAGACCAGAAGCAGACCGTGACTACGGTGCTGTAAGTGGCCTGCGGCTGCGACTTGGCAAGTCTAGGCCAAGCTGATGAGACAGGGCTGTCCTAGCCTGACCCCTAGCCCTAACCCTAACCGTAACCCCAGGCAGCACAGAGGGGCGCCCTCCAGTGGCCAGTGCTATAGGTTTCTTCACGTTTCAGAAACAGGTTTCCACTCCACCCCCGACAGATACAGAAATAAGACACACCGTGACCTGGATTCCACTAGACAGTTAGAAATCAAAAAGTCTGCTACCAAAAGTAATTAGCAAATAAAAAGAGCACGGGCCGCGTGTCCCTGAAATAACCCATTCCAGAGACGAGTCAACTGTGTCGTCAAACGGAGCAAGCGCGGAGCCAAACAACAAGAGCAGGGGCAGAAGCCGCGGTTCCGGATGCAGTGTCTACACTCCAGTGTGGGCTGCGTGTGGGTTCACAAGCACACAGTCAGTGCGACCCAACTCGGGGTTCTGGGCCAGCTGCTCCTGAACAGGGTCGAAGCAAACACTGTTTGTCACCAAGCAAGGGTGTCGGCACTGGCGGCGAGGTCCCGGGGAACTTCCTCGCATGGCTCTTCGAGAGCTTCAGCGAGGTGTCATTCCACTCACAGCCCTGGAGGAAGGGTCAGCCGGCTGTGTGAGGGGACAGTCTCTCTAGGCAGCCAGGCCACATGTGACTCTGCGAGTAAAGGGAAGCATTTCTGAAACAGCCCCAAGTGTTCTGGGGAGGTCTTGCTGGTCAGACCAGAAGGAACAGGACCCAACAGTCCCCAAACAGTGTGGGAGGGCCACTCCAAGACCAGCAGGAACAGGACCCAACGGTCCCCAAACTGTGGGAAGGCCACTCCAAGACCAGCCAGCGAAGGCTGTGCAGAGAGAAGGGACAAACCCTTTGTCAGGGAGGGTCCCTGGAGGCTGGGCCACATCATCTCTGAGCTCAGGCCTGTGCAGGCAGATGCTGGTGGCACCAGGGGCCCTGTGTCTCTGTCAAGGGCAGTTTCATGTGTGCCTCACAGTAACTCGAACCCAGAGCCGTCTTCTCAGGGAGGCAGCTCCCAGCCCAAGGTCTCTGCAGTGACAGGGGCCCCTGAGCCGCGGCACGGGAAGGTAGAACTGTGGGATCCCACTGCTGTTTCCAGGACTAGAAGAGGGGCAGGCCGAGCCCAGGGAGGTCCGCAAAGCCATTGTGTGGCTCTGGCCAGAGGCTAGTGGGAATGAATGCCTGAGAGCCAAGGACCAGGCTGCCAGGCTGAAAGCATGCAGGTCCCGCAGCCTCCCTGGGCCTGGGAGTGTGTTCAGTGGTCTCAGCTGGCCTCTGAGCGGAGAGGAAGGCTTTAAGGCTATTTCCTCCCTCGTAGATGGTGTTAAAGGGTCAGGCGGACCTAGCACGCACTGCAAACCCACAGGCACTTCCAGGATACCAGCAGAACAGATTCCGCTCCAGGACAGATGCCCCTCGGTTCCCCCGGTGAGGACAGACAGCAGGTCTCAGTGGTTTCATGGAACCACTTCATTATACAATCGATATATATAAAATGGAGGCCTAACACGCCAACACACCCAAGGGCCCAATGGACCCTAGGCCCAATGCAGAGCCCGAGCAGGTGACCCATCAAGATGTGGCCCTGCTCCTAGTTCCCTCTAGCTGGCCTGTCCACTGACTCTCACTGAGAAAAAGCTGCAGGGCAACAGCCATTTATCAACCAACTTGGGAATAGAAGATTAGGAATGAATCCCAACTCCCCCAGGACCAACATGCAGCTGTGCTATGCTGAACTCCACCATGCAACGTCCCTGGCTTAGCTGGCAGGCCCTCTCCATGGGAGCTACAGCGTTCAGGGACTGCATTCAGGAAGCAGCCGCGCTGCAGCCAGGGGGCGAGGCTGCAAGGCTACACCTGTCTCGGGGTCTGGCCTCCTTGATGTACAACTCTAAGGCCAGGGGCAACGAAGCTCCAGGGAGCTGCTCTGGGCAGTGTCCTGAGACCCAGACAGGCCTCTGCCATCCTCCAGGGTGGTCGGTGCCTCCCCACTGTGCGTGGTACCCTTCCTGCCCGTGCTCGTTAGCCAGGACAGGCCCTGGTGCAGGCTGGTCCCTCCCTACCGCCTTGGGACAGCCAGGCCTTTAGAGGCAACATTCCACTGTTCCTATGTCCACCCGCGTGAGGGTGGTGGAAAACGCCACATCACCAGGAGGCAGATACTTGGCATGTGGACCCTGCAGGCTAACATGCATGACCCTGGAGACGTCATACATCAAAGGAGAATGTGATATGGGCAGGGGTCCCACGGCATCTGTTCTGGAGGCAGATCAAGATTGGAATTTTATTTCAAGAAAGAGCTGTTTCATTAAACGTCTTTCGGTTCAAGACTGGGAGGGGGACAGAACAAATGTGAGCACACCTGGCTGACACGTGTGTGACATGGTTTGATTTCAGTAGTTTATTTTGGAGATAAAGCAGTGCAAGAGGTTGGCCACGGTTTCCTGCCACCCCAGGGCTCGGGGGAGAGCCAGGAAAAGGGACACACAGACAGGAATGGAGGGTCACACTCGAGTCGCATAAACGCAGTAAGTCCAAGAAAGCCAGGCAGTGCTGCTGGCTTCTGCCCCTCCTCTCCAGAAGGGGGACCCCTGCGCCCCTGCTGAGCCAGGCTGAAGGTGCCTCCGAGTGCTCTGCTGTGGCCTCTTGGGACACTCGCTCCTCTCTCCAGCATCCCGTCCTGGCCGCATGGCAGAGGATGGCCCAGAGCTGCCTTCTCTCCTTCAACTCGTGAGCTGGTATCTGAAGACCCCGAACCACACTCAGAAGGTCCTATACAGCTCACCAGTGTTTGGCGTCTTCTGGGGAACAAGAAAGCTCCACATCCCCTTTCTCTGCAGAGGGAGTTGGGCTGCTGGCCCGCCAGGATCGGACCAGCCAGTGCTGCTGGCCTGTCTGCTGCTGTGGTGATGGGGAGTTCAAGGTGGCGGAGGGAGGGGACAGCTTCCTGGCACTCAGCTAGCTCAGTGCCTGGCCTTGCAATGACCACCGGAGAGGTGGGCTGGGCCTTGGGGTGAGGAAGGACTGCAGCGTGAACAGGAGTGAACCATACGGGCGGTCCGCTCCTGCCCAGGCCGAGGGCCCACTCTCTATGCGACCAGGTGGAGATGCCCACGCCTCCATCCAGGCTCGGGTAGCAGCCAGCCCTTTGTTGTTCTCTAGGCTCAGTGCCCACTGGAGACCCCACGGACAACCCAGATCTCCCAGCAGGCTTTGCCAGTCTCGACACAGGTGCTCCACACAGGCGGGGCCGGCCCGGGCTCCCCCTCCTGGCTCCAGGCCACGGCGGTGCTAGGTCAGGGCTGAGCGGGGCATGTGCTGAGGGTGCTGGGCTCCAGGAGCTGAGGTGACGAGTGGTGGCCAGTCGGGGGCTGACCTCTGCACAAGGGGAGCTTCCTTGCCTTCTTGCTCAGCACAGACCCCCATGTGGTGTGCCCCCGACGGGGGCCGTAGCTTCACTGGCTTTGGGGAGGGAGGGGTGAGCTGCACGCCTGGTGGGGTGGGGTGTCAGGCCACGCTCCTTACACAGCCTGGAGATGCTCAGCAGGAGGGGGACAGGAAGGGTCAGTTCTGGGGTGTGGGGAGACGTGGAGAGGAGAAGAAGGGAAACCGTTCTTTCGCTCGCTCTGCTCTGCCGCCGACAGCCTGGTTGGGCCTTCGTCCAGGGGCCCCCAGGCCCGGTCTACAGCAGCCGTGGAGACGAACAGACACACACACTTGCACGGCAATCTCACTCGCACACTCACACACTCACACACCCCATTCAGACCTAGTGTTGAAAACACAAGCGTGTGTAAACTCG